TCATCCTTAGCATGAAGGAAGGATTGAGAGAAGGCCTATTAGGGGAAAAGATGATAAAGCTAGGCAGTCTAATAATGTCATCTTAAAATATAGCTCCATCTTTTTATTTGAAGAGCTATATTCTATTTCCTATAAGTTAGCAAACTACAGTGCACAGGCCAAATGTGGCCTACAACCTATTTTTTAAAATACAGTTTTGTTGGAACACAGCAATGTTCTTCATTTACGTCTTGTCTATGGCTGCTTCCATGTTGTAATAATAGGATTGAATTGTTGCAACAAGAGGCCGTTTGATCAGCAAGACTAAAGTATTTACTATCTGGCCTTTTTCTGAAAAATTTGCCAACCGCTGTCCTAGAATATCATATATACCCATATTCCAAATTTAAATAAAGTCCAAAATAAAATATGATTGAAGCTGCTATTACTGATTCGCATATTACTCCCCACCTTAGTCATAATCTAAAATTGGTTAAACAATAATAAATTAAGTGAAAAGTAATGCTGAATTAATAGGATTCAGACTCATTTTTACACATTTTTGAGAATGCACAAAGATGATTGAGAGAGAGGAGTTTGGACTATCAATAAAATCATCAAAATTTGGTATATATTTGAACTACTTTTCCCTGGGAAATTTTCTCTCATTATCTACTGAGGAAAATAATTAAAGTATCCACCTCAAGACGGAAAGATCTAGAGTAAATCATTCACTAGAATGAACTACTAGATTATCTAAAATATCTCCTCTAGCCCTGGCTGGTGTGTTCAGTGGTTATAGCATTGGACCTAAGGCTCGAAGGTTCGATTCCCCGTCAGGGCACAGGCACAGGTTGTGGGCTCATCCCCAGCAGGGGGCGTGCAGGAGGCAGCTGATAGATTCTCTCTGATTGATGTTTCTATCTCCTTTCCTCTCTCTCTCAAATCAATAAAAATATTTTTTTTAAAAAGAAAATATCTCCTCTACTACCAGAAAAGAGGAAGACATAAAACATACTATACATTATATACTATACTCTACACTTAGATACTACTGTATATCAAACTCAATGTATTGTTTCTTACTACATAGCCACAAAACATATTGTTAGGTGTGGGGCTGGGAGGTGGGGAAGAGGCCTGTTGGTTCTCTGTATAATCAGCCATACAACTTAGACATGTATTTCAAGTACCTGAGTTCTCCTGTAATAACCCATTATGAGTTTGTCCTGCATAAATTTATATAAACCTAACTTTTTCCATTTTATATTTTCAGATGATTTCACTTCTTGGAAAAAGAAGATTCTACAAGTTTACCACTTGTGGGTAAAGTATCTGGTCATGGTATTTGCTTAAAAAAAGACATCTTTTTTCAGGCATTGTCCACAGATAGCTTGTCATTCACCTTTGTCACTAGACTTGGTTCTGAATGAACCAATAGTTCTTTAAAAGCACTGCCAACCATAAAAGACAATGATTGACACCATGGCACAGTGGAGAGCGGATGCCCCAAAAGAAGCCGCCAAAGCCCTGAGGACAATTTCATAGAAGGACAAAAGTTAGTGCTTTCAGTGACAACAACATTGTTACAATAACTTGCTAAGATGGCTATTTGATTGATAGCATTTATTTGGATGCTAAATTTTGGAATGCTTAAAGAAAATAAAATGAATGTAGTAACATTATAGTCACACCTTGTACAGTGACTTCAATAAGTCACAATAACATTTTATTTGCATATCTTAAAAAAACTGCAAAAGATACAGTCAAAGTCAATATGCACAATCTTAAAATGTATCTGGTTATTTTCCTTTTAGATTCTCCACAGTAGAAACGTGACTTACATTTTTGCCATTTGAAGGTCTGTGATACTGTTAAGTTTCCATATTTGACAAAACATGAGAAGCTGTGGTTTTTTGTCACATTGAAATCCAGCTCACTGCTAATCGTGTAGAGCTCAGTTTCAGGATCTTGGGAAACCGTTGTGTTGATGGCATTTATTTCTTTTCCATTTTCCAACCAGGAGAGGTGAGGCTTTGGAAAACCTCCAGAGGTTGAACAGATTATTCTTTTGATGTGAGTAGACGGGTTTCCAAGTTCAGTTATACTTGGGGCAGGGAAGTCAGCTAAAGAAAGAACAATGACATAAGTACATACCATTATATATCTGCATGTGTAGGGGGTGTGTGTGTTATGTTTTTAATAAAGTATCTAGCTTTAATAAGAATGCAAAAATGAGATGTAATTTACAACATCCCGTAAGTCAATAGTTATGTATAACCCAAAGGCTGACCTTGGAATTCTTCATCACTTCTGATAGAGGTAGGAGGGCAGTTATTAGAGAAAAGAGAAGTAGGTTCCTGTGAAGAATATTGACAAAGTACTTGCATTTGTAAGAACTGAAGGGACAGACAACAGACAACATTTATTGAGCTCTTAATGCTTGTTAGGCCTGGACTTTTCCTCATTTTGTCTTTACAACAACCTTAGGAGGTAGGTTGCAGATCAAAAAAGATCAGATATCAGTAACTTCATATGATTTAATCTAATACAATTTCCATTTTATAAATAATGAAGTTGAGGTCTAATCATGACCATTAGGTGGCAGAACTGGTATTCGAATCCAAGTTTTGCAGATACCAGCAGCTTCCCTTTCAATGTCTTGTTTCTTTTACTTGGCCTTCTTTTCTTTTCTCCTGACATTTAAGGTCATAAAGTAGTTCTCTTTCACTTATCTATTTATTAGTTAATATTATAGTGAACACCTGTGAACCCACTAGCCAACTTGAGAACCAGCACATAGTAACTTAAGTACATCTACTTGTATAGTCTCACGGAGCCTGCCTCCTACTTCCCACAGCTGAGGAAACCACTTTCCTAAATTTTGTTTAGCACTCCCTTTCTTTTTCAAAAATAGTCTTTTAATCAGGTAAACCTTGTCCAAATTGTCCAATATTAAGTCTGTAATATCAATCATTAGCCTTTCTAATCCTCTCACAATTCTGATATGCCTCAACAGGACAGAGAGGCCCTCCTAGCATTCTTCCGAGATACTCGAGGCACTCACTCATTTGCACAGTTGAGCCTCAATAAGATACTAAAATGTATACTTTCAACAATAAAGATAAATTAAAAAAAATAAAGTGTATACAAAGCAAAGCATAGTGGAATGGCTGTAGAGAACCCAGGAGAAAGCTCCCCTCACTTCTCTCTCACTTATCCTTAGACTTAAAGAATTTATACTTTTCAGCATGAATGTGGGGAGTCAATCCTCCCATACTTCATTACATAGTTTTCTTTTCAGAGTTCTGAGTCCCCAAGAGATGTAGTATATTGAAGTGGTCATCAAGAGCAGGATTTTAAAACCCATTTTGCCTTTTAACCCTGGGCCAATTTCAGTCTTAGTTTGTTCCACTGTAAGATGGGGGTAATGATAACTACCTTGCAGGGTTGTAAGAAGTAAATGACATCATTACAATAAAACACATAGCACAGAACCTGACACAAAGGAAGTTAGTTAGTAGACTGATTTATGTGGGTCTTAAATTTGCCCTCTCTCAGATGAGTTTCCTTATTTAAATCAGGTTGTCAGGCGAAAGTTCCAGGACTGCCTGGTGGCACTGTGAATAATAAGGGAAGGGGAAGTGATGACAAGTGATTATAATTGCCAAGAAAAGGAAACACTGGATTTGGTTGGAGGTGAAGTCACTTTTCTTTTTTCAGTTAACCTTGTTTCTAAATTAAGTTTGACATTTTCCTGAGCCATTTTTAGTTGACATTAATATTTCCCTGTAATTTATCTTATAAGGTCAAATCCTTGCACTGGTAGCTGACATTGACGATACTTCCTTAGTTTCTCATAATCTCGGCATGTCATGTGTTATAAACTGGAATAACAAATCCAAGTAACTCATGCCCTACATTATAATTCTTGCTCATTTCTGCACTTTGCTTTTCTGAGAAATAGATAAACCTCAAGGATGCCACTAATACCAAGGATTGTATTAAAAATCATCTTTTCAAGTTCCAGCTCTGCTTGAAACAGCCTCGGCTCTGTCTCTTATCCCTTCTATAAGGTGACCTGTTTAGAGTAACAGCTCCTAAGGCCTTGTAAGACTTGAATCATCAAATTACTACTCTGTATCTCATTTTATTCAATTAACCCAAGTTTTCACCATTTTTAATGGGTAAGGTAAAAATACCTTATTAGGAGAGGAAGAGGTGCACATGTTTTAGAAGGTTAAAATTCGCTAACCTAGTTAATTTAACTAGTATAACTAGTTCCTCAGATGTACTGGTTAATGGAGACTTTCATATACTGCTGTGCTGATATTATATTATTTTGCAATCTTAGGCAAATGTAGAGAAACCAACTTGCCCTGGTTAGCCTGAGATTTTTCCAGTTTTAGCCCTGAAAACCTGTCTGAGGAAATCCTTTAGTCCTGGGCAAAATGAGACAGTTGGTCACCCTAGCCAACTGAGAGACTGTTTAATGTCTTGTTTCTTAAATTGTGGTCCTTAGCAGCCATGCAGGCATCATCTGGAAGCTTGTTAGAAGTGCAGCATTTCAGATCCAACCTGAGACCTGCTGCATTTGAATCTGCTTTTTTTTTTTTTTTAAATCAAGGTGTCAGAGGCCTTGGGTGGGAATCTGTTTCCTTGATTTTTTTTTTTTTTTAATATGTTTTTATTAACTTCAGAGAGAGAGGAAGGAAGAGGGAGAGATAGAAACATGGATGAAAAAGAACATGGATCAGCTGCCCCCTGCATACCCCCTACTGGGGATTCGCTTGCAACCCAGGCAAGTGCCCTGACCGGGAATATGAACCAGCGTCCTCTTGGTGTCAGGTCGATGCTCAAACACGGAGCTACACCAGCCGGGCTGAATCTGCATTTTCACAACACCCCTAAGTCCTAGGCGCATTCACATCTGAGAAGCACTGCTCTCGTAGACTCAATTGGAAAAATCAGAATTGGTTCTGGGTCAAATTAAGCAGGTGAAGTTTCCCTTTTGTCTTCCCTTTCCTGATTTTGGTGCCTGCCCCCTTTTGGAGGCCCCCAGCACTCTCAGGTCACCCAGTTAGCTGTCCTTGGTCTCCCACTGTATGTGCTGCTAGGGCCTGTCCTCCCTAAAACTCCTTTTTTTCTATCCAAATGTACTACTCTCTGGGTATTCTGTTAGAGGAAGATGTAGTTAATGTAATTAATTGATACAGACTAATATGTTTGTACCTCCCCTAGGTAATGCATTTTCATTTTTAATTTTTTTAATCCTCACCTGAGGATATTTTTTCCATTGCTTTTCAGAAGAGTGGAAGGGGGAGAGAGGGAGAGAAAGACAGAAACATTGATGTATGAGAGACACATCAATTGGCTGCCTCCGCTCTCACACCCACTGGAGCCGCAGACTGGAACCAGGGATCGAGCTCACATGGAGGCCCGTGCCCTTGGCTGGAATCAAACCCAGGACCCTTGGGTCCACGAGCTGACGCTCTAACCACTGAGCCAAACCGTCTAGGGCCGCATTTGCATTTTTAACAGGGATCTTATAGGGGGGAAAATGCTGAAACTAGCAGGAAAGGCCATAATGGCAAGAACTTCAGGAATCAATACAGGTCAGAACTTTGGAGGAAGCGGGCTTCTTAGAGCCCCTCAAATCCCACCACCATCTAAGTTCCTTTCTCCACAAGTAGGAAATACTACTCAGAGTGAGGTTTAAGACTGTTCCACGTAACTTTGGCTTACCTCCTAAACCTTAGGTGTGATCTGGACGCTACAGGCCATAGCTAAATACCAAAGCAGGGAAGAACAGTGAATTTACTATGTTATCTATTATCAAGGTTAATCATTATCTCCTTTTTATATGATTTTTTAAATTCTCACCCGAGGATATGTTCATTGATTTAGAGAGAGAGGAAGGGAGAAAGAGAGAGAGAAACATCAATGTGAGAGGGAAACATAGATTGCCTGCCTCCCTCACGTACCCTGACTAGGGATCGAACCCGCAACTTTTTGGTGCACAGGACAATGGCCCAACCTACTGAGCAACCTGGCCAGGGTCATTATCTTTTTTGTTGTTTCTTTTCTTTTTTCAATTACACGTGACATTCAAAATTATATTAGTTTCAGGTGTACAGCATAGTGGTTAGACATTTATATAACTTAAGAAGTGATTCCCCCCAATAAATCTAGTACCCACCTGGCACCATACATAATTATTACAATATTATATTTTATTAAGAGGTTTGGTTTCCATTAAAGGCTCAAGTACCCAGGGAGAAAGAGAAACGTGTTTGAACTTTAAGTGTGAGGGAATGGCCCAGGGCTGTATTTCTCAGCGAGGGCTCAGGCTACATCAGTATCCTAGAGTCTAGTGCTATCACCCGTTAAGTCAAGGCTCCTTCCTACCCAAGATAAGAAATGCTTATCCTTCACAGTAGATGTATAAATAGGGCTTCGATTCATGAATTAATTTTCTTTCCTGTGGCAGGCATACAGTATGCTTTCAGTTCTCAAACATCTAACTTTGCAGGAATGACTGTTAGATGAGAGCTTCAAATATGCAATAAATATAATAGTACAATAGCCATAGTAATAGACATTCAAATACTATTTGAAAAATATCTATGCCTACATTGCTCTTACACCTTTCAACATACTTTCACGAGAATATATTACCATATCAAGGGCAGTTAATAGTATAGTTACATCAAATCAAATGTGTCCCCTGATGACTCAGAAGGCATTCGGGTCATTATAGTGCCCCAGGATGACTGTCACAAATTTGGATGGTCAAAGTGCAAGAAATGCACACTAACAGATATTTCCAGGACATCGTGAGAAATCAATTAGGGTTTCTTGTAAAACTAGAGATTCACTTAACCCTAAGAAATAACATGAGATACATTTCTCTTGAGGAAAAGTTTTCACCTAATTCAATAGGAGTATATCTTGAAGGACATCAAGAGTCTGTAGGCTTAGAGTAAATCAGAAAATTCCACTGTCAGTTTATTTCATTCCTTAGACTCCACCTATGAGTGAGATCATGTGATATTTGTCTTTCTCTGACTGGCTTATTTCACTTAGCATAATAATATAAACTGACAAACAAAATAGATCCAGAGACATGGAAGCATGCAACAGACTCGAGGATCTCAGGGGGAAGGGGGCGGGGCTGGAGAGGCAGGAAGGGATTAACCAACTAATTTATATGCATACTTGCATAACCCTCGGACACAGACAATAATTAGGTGAAGGCCTGAGGAGGGGGCGGGAGGAGAGAGGAAGGGGTCAGTGCAGGAAAAAAAGGGGGACATCTGTAATACTTTCAACAATAAAGATAAATACATAAATACATAAATAAATAATAAATAAATAAATAAGTAAAATTCCACTGACCTTTGACGAATAACAGCACCGAAATCAAGTGTTCCAATACGAAAGCCCCTTTTTCAGGCTTCTGAATGACACAGGTGTATGTACCACTGTCCGAAGGGCGTAGACCCAGGATCACAATGGAAGGGTCATTGATGATGTTAGGGATGGTGCGGTTCTTATACTTGGACCCCAGGTCCACTTTTCCAGATATGACAGTCAGCACCACATCAGTACTTTTTTGCCAATAGATGCGAACTCTTGTCAGTTCATCAGCAGAAATGTTGTAATTACAGGATAGTACTACCCTGTCGTTCACTTGCTTCGTTACCTGGTTGGTGACTAAGGAGAGGCAAATAGAACAAAATGTTGTATGTTTATTATATACATTCCTGCACAAGCATTCAGAGTTGGTAGTAATAGAACTCACAGTGTTGTATCTAGTGGCTAAGCATAATCGAATTCAGCTTGATTTTAATTTTTTTGATTCCCAGTGCTGTTTTTTCCTTCATTTTTTATTTGGGGTTTTAAAAAATAACACAAAATTTACATCTTAACTATTTTTAAGTGCACAGTTCAATAGAGTTAAGTATATCCACACTGCTGTGAAACAGATCTCCAGAACTTTCTCATCTTGCAAATCTGGAACTCTACGTATTAAACAATGTCCCTTTCCCCCACTCCCTGACCCCTGGTAACCACCGCTCAGCTTCATGTTTCTATGAAATTGACTACTTTAGATACCACATATAAGTGGAATCATGCAGTATTTTTAAAAATTGATTTCAGAGAGAGGAAGGGAGAGAAAAAGAGAAAGCGAGAGGGAGAGAGAGAGAGACATCGACCAGTTGCTTCCCACACACACCCAGACTAGGGATTGAACACAAAACCTGTGTATGTGCCCTGACCAGGAATCAAACTGCCACCTTTTGGTGTATGGGACAAAGCTCCAACTGAGCCACATCAGCCAGGGCAGTATTTGTCTTGTTGTGACTGGCTTATTTTACTTAGCATAATGTCCTCAGATTTCATGCATGTTTTAGCAAGTGCCAGAATTTCCTTCCTATTTAAGGAAGGATAAGATAATCATGTTAATGAATTCTATTATATATATACCATATTTTCTTTCTTTATCTCTGGACAGTGAGGAAGAAGGTCTACTAGTCCCATTAGAAGAAGGACTTTAGGAAACTAGCATATGAGCTCCAATCACATGTACTCAGCCCCAAAGGAATCTGGAAGTTATAGTTAAGACACGTGAGATCTTCAAGGAATTTCCATGATCATTCATTTTTACAGATAATCTTATTTTACAGAGGAGGAAACTAGGCCTTGGAAAGGAAACTACCCCAATTTTACATTTTCTGCCCAAAGATTTTCAGGCCACTCCGTTTATTTACTGGTTTCTTCAATTTTGGGCCCCAGATCTAGGATAAGCAAGCCGACACTGCTGGCACCCCAACCGGGCCCCACCACCAAGCACTTTTGCTTTGAGAAATAGTCCTTTTTCCTTCCAGCTCTGGGTTGACCCCATGACTTCAGACTCAAATGGCTCACTCCCCTCATCTCCACCAGACGGGGCCTTATTAACACTTCTGGACTGTGTCTGACCTCTTCAGCTACCCTAAATGGATCTATATCTATCTTGAGCTCTTTTGGCCATCTGCAACCCATGACACAGTTGCCCTACAACTTAGTTTTGCCAGGGGCCCCCATTTAAAAGATTCTATTCATTTTCCCATCAGTATATTCCAGAAATACAACATTTCAGCGTCTAAACTCCATCTCTTCATTAGCTCCTGAGCACTCATCAGTAGCACCAAAATCCCTTTTTAGACTATATTTTGATTTTTTCATTCAGAAGGCATGGTCACTTTTCCTGTGCTGTGCAGAGTCCTTCTAAGCCCCACGCTCTTTCACACTGCCCAGTCATGGTACCATGTTGTCTTCCCCGCCAGTGTTGCTCAGACCCAACAGAGCCCCTGAGGGAGGCCCATGTCTAGGGATTTTATTTCCAGGCCCTCCCTCTTCTTGGACAGCAGGATCGTGGAGCACTAGCAACTCTCTCTCACCAGGCATTCTTCAGGCCTCCATCAGACTGGATATGTCCCCACCACAGCATTTAGGAAGAGAGCTATGTGATGGTGGGTGTTTTCATAGCAGTGTGAAGTAACCCATAATAATCTAAGGTATCCCTATTGTGCTGAACATTGCCAGTTCCAAATTTAGGGAATATAACTGAAAAGGGAGAGAAATGAAAAGCTATACTCAAGGGGAGCATATAATAACTAAATAATCTGAACTTTCTTTAAGAAGGAATACTTACTATGGATTCCTACTGACTTGGGTTTTAGTCCCAGCTCAGCCACTTGCTGATTAATCTGTTTTCTCATCTGTAAAAAGGGCATGACACCTACCTATCAGGATCATTGTAAAATTAAATTAAATGATATAAAGGAAAAAGTCCCTACTACATAGCAGGTCTTCGGTAAGAGTTTTCTTTTTTTTCCCTTTCCTGCCTCTCATTCCAACTCCTACCCTCTGATCCCTTTCGTCTCACTCAGGTGTTATGTCAGACACATAGGACTAGCTATGTATTTTGCTGAGGGTCAGACAGACACCATGACAAGAAGCGACTCACTCATCTGGGGTTCTAACTCATAGGATTCTTTCCCTATGATGTGTTTGTTCCCACCCAAAAAGAATCCAGGATTTCTGATTTTAAATGTTGCAAAAAGAGAAATCTTAACTGAAAGTGAGATAATTTCAAAAGTTAAATTTATTGGGGTAACACTGGTTAATAACATTATATAAATGTCAGGTGTACAACTTTAGAATATGACATCTGTATACTCTAGTGTGTGCTCACTACCTGAAGTCTAGCCTCCTTCCATCACCATATATTTGATCCCCTTTACCCTCTTTGTCCTAACCCTACCCCAACCTTCTTTCTACTCTGGTAACCACCATTCTGTTGTATCTATCAGTTTTGTTTGTTCATTTGTTGTTTCTGCTTTATATCCCACATATGAATAAATACACTTCTTATCCTTTTTCGTCTCACTTATTTCACTTAGCACAGTAATCTCAAGTCTCATCCATGGAAGTATCTCATTTTTTGTGGCTGAGTAGTATTCCATTGTATATATTTTCACATCTTTATCTAATCTTCTGCTGAAGTTGTTTCCATGTCTTGGCTATTGTAAATAAAGCTTCAATGAACATAGGGCAACATATATCTTTACCAAAAAAATGTTTTCAAATTGTTAGGGTGGATACCCAGAAGAGGGATTACTGGATCATATTATATGGTAGCTCTTAGTTCTCTCTCTTCTTCATCATGGGTCATTTTTAGGCTTCTATCTTTGAGCTCGCTGATTCTCTCCTCCCTCTGGTCTGCTCTGTATCCAATGCTTTCTAATGCATTCCTCATCTCATTCATTGAGTTCTTTGACTTCAGAATTTGTTTGGTTCTTCTTTATAATTTAAATTACTTTGATAAAGTGTTCTTTTTGTTCATTAATTTTATTCCTGAGCCTTTCTGAGTTTTCTTGTATTTTCTTGAGTTTCTTCATAACTGCAATCTCAAATTCTCTGTCATTTAATTGCAGTCTTCTATGACTTTGAGTTTGGTTTCCGGAGACTTTTCATCTTCTTCCTGTGCTTCCGTGTTACTGTGGTTGCTCATGGTTCTTCATGGAGTGTTTCTAGGTCTGTGCATTTGAGGAAGTGAATGCTTTTCTTGTTTAGATGCTGTTTTGCTCTTAATAATTTAGTAGGTTGATAGGTACGTTACTTTCTTTTGTTTTCCAGTAGATGGTGCTATAGTACAAATTTTTGTTTTCTCTTATCTGTGGCGTTGCTCAAGTTGAGGAAAATGCCACGGAACCACTGGAGTGGTGGGTGTCCCCCCTGTGACCTGCTCATCTCTGTTAAGGGTGTACTACCACCATGGTAGAGAACCAGTTTTGTTAGCTCCCAGCACTGCCTCATTACTAATGGGAACTGACCCCTCTGTATTGTTGGAGTTGTCTTCACTACCTCTGCCAGGGTCTGTGGTGATGGGTGGGGCAAGGGAGGCAAGTTCATGATTTCACAGCTCTGCCTTCCTGTCAGTAATGGTTACTAGCACTGTTGTGGTGTTTAAGCATCCCAGCCACCTCTACTGGGCTCTGCTGCAATGGGGTGGGGGGAAGGAAGGGACATTGCCTCTGCCCCTCTTATGTTCCAGGCTGTAGTGTGAAGGCTGCAGCCTGACTTCACTACTGTGTTTTCTGGAGCCATGGTGGGTGTTGAACTGTGTTTTTTGACCAGTGTTCCTGTCCTTCCCCCACATCCCACCTCCCCTACTCATTCCAATAAACCCACCTTCAGATATGTGGATCTCTCAGGAGAGTTTGTATGTTGAGCAAGGGATCCTTTGTTGAGTTATAGTTGTCTGACTTGTAAATTTAAGGGGAGAAACAAAGAAGCCTTCTCACTCTGCCATTATGTTGATGTCAGTGTAAATGAGTTGATTTCAATGATGGTTCTTAAGAAATTTCTGTCCAGACATCTGAGAACTGTAAGTATTTCCAAAGGTCAGTGATACACTACGTGAGGCCCCCTTACAAGATGCCCATGTTGAGGAAGAACCAGACTGAAAAGAGGAACTAAAAATCTTCTGAGCATTTTGGAAATTCCCACCGGGACCGCTTCCATACTTATACTCTGCGCTAGAAACCACATTTTAGCAAGGCCCAGGGTCACTGGTATGTAAAATGAAAGTGTGAGCAGCACTGGTATAGACCATGTCGCTCCCCTATTTAAAATCTTCCCATGGCTTCCCAGTGCCCTCCAAATAATATTCCGATTCCTGGCTATGGCTTTCAAGCCCTTATGGAGGCTGGTTCTTGTCCCCCAGGTCCCCACCTCTCCATGTCCTCCTTCCTTGGTTTCTTTCCCATCCTGTTCCTTCCTCCTTCTCGCCAGTTCGCTCTCACCACTCTCCCCTCTGCCAGGGAAGGACAGTGTTTGTTGGTCATACCTTCACTTGAGTGATTTTTTGATTCATTTTCCTTTTCTTCCTAATGACCATAAGTTCCATGGAAGCAAAAGTCATGTCACTTTTCCTCATAACTTGTCCCCAAGACTGAGAAAATTGTCTTGTGCTCAGGAGACGCTCAATGTTTGTTGAATTCGTAAATGTTTAAAAAAAGAATGAACGCATTCTTTGTGCCTTTGTCCATCCTGTTGCCCCACATAGATTTCTTACACCATCACCCATCCGCCTGCCCAGCTGCCCCAGCCAACCCTCGCCCGCCTTTCCCAGGTCTTGGGCTCTTACAGTCAGAACCAGGCACTTCATTGCCTTTCACTTGCTTATGAGTTAGTTTTGCTTTATCCAACTAACATACTCAAATCTCTTTGAGGGCAGGAACTCCAGGCTCAGTTTTTAAGGCATATATGTTAAGTGCTCAGACATAAGAAGCTCATGAGTTCATTTGTGACTCTGAACAGCAATAGTAAAATCTGGATGTAGCTATAGAACAGTGATTTTCAACCAGTGTGACACAAGAATTTTTAAAACATGCAATACCTGACTACTTAGTCAGGGGCACTGACCTCTTTTCCCTCAGATTGTCAAATAAAAACATGACAACAGCCAACACAACAATAGCCATCTGGTGTGAATGAATCAAAATTACACCTATTTTTTTTTGTCAGATTGGCAAAAAAATATAATGCACTTTTTGGTGTGCTGCAGGATTTTAATAATTAGTTTATGTGCCATAAGATGAAAAAGGTTGAAAATCGCTACTATAGAACAAGGTGTTTGCCTTAGCTGGTTTAGCTCAGTGGTTAGTGTTGGATTGCGGACTGAAGGGTCCCGGGTTCAATTCCAGCCAAGGGCATGTACCTCAGTTGCAGGCTCAATCCCTGGCCCTGGAAGGCAACCAATTGATGTGTTTCTCTTACACCAATATTTCTAGCTCGCTCTCTCTCCCCCTTCCACTCTCTCTGAAAAGCAATGGAAAAGATATCCTCAGGTGAGGATTAGAAAATAAATAAATACTATGCAGCTGTAAAAAAGAAGGATCTTTTATCCTTTGGAACAACATGGATGGAACTGGAGAGTATTATGCTAAGCGAAATAAGCCAGTCGGAGAAAGACAAGTACCACATGATCTCACTTATACGTGGAATATAATAAACAAAATAAAGTGATGAGCAAAATAGACCCAGAGACATAGAAGCATGGAACAGACTGAGGGATCTCAGAGGGAAGGTGGGGAGTGGGGAGTGGGTAGGGAGAGATTAATCAAAGAACTTATATGTTTATAAGCATAACCCATGGAAAGCCTGGGGTGGGATGGATGTGGGGGTGGAGGGGATCAGTGGGGGTAAAAAGGGGACACCTGTAATATTCTCAACAATAAAGATAAAGAAACTTAAAATAAATAAATAAAGAATAAGGTGCTTTCCTAAATGTCTTTCTTTAGCTCAAAGATTATCGTCCATTTACCTATGACTAATTTTCTGGTATAATTGCTAAAATGTTGGTTTTGATTTTAGTGTTCTATTTTTTTGCTGCTACAATTTTTTAATATACAATTTTATTTTATTAAATATATTGTTAATGTTCTTTTTATATTTTCTCTTTTTTTATTGTTTCTCTATCTCTGACACACACACACACACACCCCTAGGAAGCCTGTATAAATTTTTCTAAATATTTTGAAACTTATTTAGACTCTCTAGAGGTTTCTAGTTTGGGAGAGCTTTCCCAACTTCCCAGAAGAAAACTGTAACTGTTGGAAATGTACTATAACTGTCAAATACATACAAAATAGTCAAGTAATCTGTGTACCCCTCTCCCTCTCTCCCTCACACTTTAGACATTCTGGACAATGCCCACAGTGCAGACATTTTAAGTAAGCAGCTCTTAACACAAGGACTTTGATATTCGGTTCTTTGTAGACTGGTAAACTGTGCTGGAGCCAAAGCCTTCTCTTTAATTTGGGGAAACCAGATACTATACTGCTGAACAGAAAGCAAATCTTTTGTTTTAACTTTAAAAATAAAGTCAGGTCCGGCCGGGCATGGCTCAGAGGTTGAGCATGGACCTAGGATCCAGGTTCAATTCCCAGTTGGGTGTGTGCAGGAGGCAGCTGATCCATGAGGACTCTCTCATTATTGATGTCTCTCTCTCTCTCCCCCCCGCCTTCATCTCTCTGAAATCAATAAAGATATATTAAAAATAAATAAAAATAAATAAAAAATAAAGTCAGAACTACCCTGTTGCCAGGATGAGCCCCACCATTCCCAATAGTACCATAAACCCAGCACCTGAGCAGAAACAAAAGCCTCCAGAAGTCAAAACATTTTTTTGGAAAACACACATGAAATATCTATGTAGTAAGTTAAAAATAACCAAGAATGTAATTTTGTGCTAAATCTGATACCACTTAATGTCAGATGCCAGTGTTCGCAAAGGACATCAACACCTAAAGCATAAAAATAAATATTAAGAAAACAATTTAACATTAAGAAGATTATATGTCTCAACTGCTTTCTCTCCCTCTTCAAATTGGAAAGATCATCAGTGCTCAATTTTAGAAGCAGAACACTTTAGCTGTGTTGTCTCACAGAATTAATAGTTTGGAAATCAGAGACCTTAGCATATCACAAAATGTAAATGAGCATCTAGTGTTCATGGAAGAGACCACAACTCTAAGCTGGACTTATGAATCAGCTTCATGGTTTTGTTAAAATAGCACTGTTCCACCCTCCTTTTAAGGTCTGTGTTCCTGAGCTAATTTGGCTGCTGACTTCCTGTGCGATCACGGGCAGGTCCTTTAATCTCTGGGGCCTGTTTTCTCATCCGTAAAATGGACAGAAATATTTGGAAGTTCCCTTCCAGTTGGCAAGACTACAGAAGAGGGTAGCACTGAGAACATCATCTCCTTTCTCTGAGTCCTGAAACAATGGATTCAGCTAAGTTGCTTACCTGAGAAGTAAAGAAGACAAGTCAGCACCAAAATCTGAAAAAACCTGGGTAGTGGTGTTCCCCACTTTGTTTGACCCATGGCTTCTGCTGCTAATGATGAGAAAAGAAAGTGAACAATTTTGCACCAAGTGAGAACTGGACACCTTCCAAGCAAGCACCAAGCTGGGGCAGAAGATAATCCTGTTGCTTCACACAGAAGATTCAATTGTAAAACACACTGAGGAGAGGCTGATGGTGTATCTTGGGTCTTTAAACTCCTGAATATGAAAGATTGTAGATTTATTCTGACACCCTGAAAAAGAAGAAAATAAAAGTAACCCAGGAAGGAAGGTCAGCCTACTATGGGTTGTAAAACTCCCTAATTGCCTGCCTAAAATAATTCGGGGATCCTAATCTGAGAAACCCCTAAACCAGGCTTGATGGTGAGTTCACAGTAAAGATTGGGTGGACTCTGGGTAGGTGATCCTGCCTACTCTGGGTCAGTGATCCTGCCCTGTCCATGTTCAAAGAACCAACCACAGCTCTCCCATGGAATGGCTCTCTGTTCAATAGGAATGATCCAGACTTGGTTAGAAATACAGAGAACTATAATGGCCAACCCATGAAAGTTCAGATCCTTTTCAGAACATACTGAGAAACACAGACCACCAGCAAGGGTGTATTTTCTCCAAAGCACTACTTAAGTCATAAAACTACTACTTTTTTAAAAAATTGAATTTATTGGAGTGATACTGGTTCACAAAACCATACAGGTTTCAAGTGTACAAGTCAATAAAACATCATCTGCACAGAAGGTCACTACATAATACTAAAGGGATTGATCCAACAAGAGGATATAACCCTTGTAAACATATATGCATCAAACATTGGAGCACCTAAATATATAAAGAAAATCTTGATGGACATTAAGGGAGAGACCAACAGCAATACAGTCATAGTAGGAGGTTTTAACACTCTACTGACATCAATGGATAGATCTTCCTACAAAAAAATCAACAAGGGAACAGCAACCTTAAATGACACACTGGATCTGATAGATTTAATTGATATTTACAGCACATTTCTTCCAAAAGAAGCATAATACACATTCTTCTCAAGTACACATGGAACATTTTCAAAGATAGATCACACGTTAAGATGCAAAATAAGTCTTAATAAATTTAATAAGATTGAAATTATATTAAGTATCTTCTCTGACCACAAAGGTATGAAACTAGAAATCAATTACAATAAAAAACGACATTCACACACATGGAGGCTAAATAACATGTTATTAAACAATGAGTGGGTTAACAATGAGATCAAGGAAGAAACAAAAGTTACCTGGAAACAAATGAAAATAAACAGACAACAACCAAAAATCTACGGGATATAGTGAAAGCAGTCCTGAGAGGGAAGCTTATAGCATTACAGGCCTACCTCAAGAAGCAAGAAAAATGTCAAATTAACAACCTAATCCTACATCTAAAAGAACTAGAAAAAGAACAACAAACAAAGCCCAGAGTAAGCAGAAGGAAGGAAATAATAAATATTAGAGTGGAAATAAATGACACAGAGACTAAAAAAAAATACAAAAGATCAATGAAACAAAGAGCTGGTTCTCTGAAAAAGTAAACAAATTGATGAAACCTTTAACCAGATTCATCAAGAAAAAAGGAGAGAGGACCTAAGTAAATAAAATCAGAAATGAAAGAGGAGAAGTAACAACTGACACAACAGATATACAAAGGATTTTAAGAAAATACTATGAACAATTTATGCCAACAAATTGGACAACCTGTGTGAAATGGATATATTCCTAGAAACACACAATCTTCCAAAACTGAATCAGGAAGAATCAGAAAACCCAAATCGACTCGTTACAATTAATGAAATTGAAGCAATAGTGAAAAAAAACACACAAAAAACCTCCCAGCAAACACAAGTCCTGGACCAGATGACTTCACAGGTGAATTTTACCAAACATTCAAGGAAGAACTAACACCTATCCTTCTCAAACTATTCCAAAAAATTCAAGAGGAGGGAAGACTTCCAAGCTCTTTTTTATGAGGCTAACATTGTCCTAATTCCAAAACCAGATCAAGACATTACAAAGAAAGAGAATTATATAAGTCAATATCCTTGATGAACATAGATGCTAAAATCCTCAGCAAAATATTAGCAAATCAGATCCAGCAATACATTAAAAAGATCTTACTACATGTGTAAGTGGGATTTATTCCGGGAATGCGAGGTTGGTATCATATTTGCAAATCAACAAATGTGATACATCACATAAACAAAATGAAGTGTAAAAACCACATGATTATATCAATAGATGCAAAAAAAAGCACTTGATAAAATCCAACACACATTTATGATAAAAACTCTCAGCAAAGTGGAACTAGAGGGATGATACCTCAACATAATAAAGGCCACACAAGACAAACCCATAGCCAACATCATACTCAATGGACAAAAATTAAAAGCGTTTTCCTTAAAATCAGGAACAGGACAGGGATGCTCCCTTTCACCACTCGTATTCAACATAGTACTAGAAACTATTTTCTTAACATATTAACATAGAAAAACAAGTGTCTCAATTCTTAAATACCTCTTCAAAGAGAATAAATCAACAGAAAAATCTATCAGTAAAAGGACAAGGAAAAAGACGGAACAAGCTATTCCACATTAAGATAATAGTAAATGTACTTACGCTGAAGAACAATTTCTCTTTTTCTCTTGTGTTAAAAATCAAAGTAGGAGGACGCGCTTCTGAGATGTTCCTTTCTCGATAGTTCAAAAATGCTGTCAAATTGCTCAGTTTTAATTTAAATGCTATGTTACCGAGGTGGCATTCCCCTTTCAACTTCCTCTTGATCGTTTTCCACCAGGCAAACGTAAGTCAAAGCACAAGGTATGGTTAGGACGATTTGATTTGATTTGAGGAAGCTTGGAGCTCAGCTTCTTAGAGGGTGTGGCCGGGGCAAACCACATGCTGTCTTGAAGAGTGCAGCAGGCAGCCTGGGGGAGGGAAGAAAGTGGTTGGAAGGGTGGGCTGCTCCATTGACTATTTAGCAGTAGATACTTGTGAGCTTTATGGGCTGTCTGCTTCTGTGCTGGTCCCAAGGTTTGTTTTAGTACCCAGAGTTATCCCTCCCTAGACACAATCATACCACTTCAGGAATGGGCCATCCACCTCATATGTAATGGACAGCTTTTGGAGTGCTAAGCTCACAAGGCCACTCTTGATTGCACTCCCACCTCTCCAACCCACCATCTTCACAGAGTGGGCTCTTGGTAGCCATGTTGGACAGTATCTCCCTAATCACAGTTGAATTAATCTCAGGGGAGCCCAATGATAGAGCCAAGGAGTGGACTGAGGAAGATTTAGTCCCTCATCCACCCCATTTTCAACCAGCTTGCTATCTTTATGCCTTCTCTGTAGGATTCAGGATACTATGGGTAAACAGCTGACCCATGCTGATCCAGCTGACCTGTTTTGCAGGGGTAGAACCTGACAGCATCTTTCCTGGACCTGCACCTTTGTCTGCTGTTGGTCCAGGGGACTTCCCTTGGCTTAGTCTACCCTTGGAAGTTTTGCACTCAAGCCTGTGCAGCCTGAAAATATGGGGGGAGTTAATGTCTGTGGGTCTACTCTTAACCAAATGTGGCTAGAAGCTGATGGATAACTGCTTCCCCCTTTTGTCACCCAAGTGGAGAGTTCCAAGAGACGTTATCAAAACTCACTGAACACACCAAATGAGTGTATTTCATTACATATAAATTGTACCTCAATTAAACAACAACAACTCTGAGGCCAAGTTTAGGTCATTACAGCCAGAAAAAAATAGGCATAGCAAATCAAAATTTTGGGTAGGTATATAGAATATTAATGATAATGGAAAAAATAAAATGGAATCAACATTGCTGAGTCATTTAAAATAGAAGGCTATTGAGGAAATGAAGCTCATGCACATTAGTGCCTGTTCTCAGAACTGCTTATATGTTGCTAAACCTGCTGCTAAACTTAGCTCAAGGCTGAGCCATAAACATCCTGGAACAACTGTTATATGGAAATAAGTGGACTCAACCTCTTTGGAGTTTTGGACTCCTCTCATTTGCATATTGGAACTAATCAATCCCAGTTATCGTAGCCAGAAACCCTTCATCTGCATGAAAAAATGACATGTTGTGGTTTTTGCTTTTATAAACCTTGTCTTTCTTTGATCACTGTGGAGTGCAGTTTAGGTTGCTCCTTGGATCTGTCGAAGGAGGCACCAGGTGTTAGATGGGTGGGGTCAGACTGACCCTGGGATCAGCAACCTTGGTACTTGAGTTCTGGCTAGGAGGAAAGCATTCAAGGCCAAGACTCCAACTATAAGAGAACATTTATTTATAAAACCACAGAGGTGGAAGAAGTAATTTATAGAAGAGATGGGCTTAGGAAACAAGTTATGGAGGTAAAGGAAGGGCCCTTGGAGCTTGGGAGTGAGGAAGGTAAATGTACCATGCCTGGGGGAAGGGGAGGGGGGTAAAGAAAGACAATAGTGTGTTCCCAGGAGGGAGAACACACTGAGTCCTCCAAGCTACAGGTTTTAAGGGTGGAGATTTGGGGGAGGTCCCAGGGGAATATCTCAATAGAATATTCAGCAGTTCCCCCCCCCCCAAGTGCCCATTCACGGTATAGACTGATTGGTTGGTGCCATGGCAGGGGCCATTATTTAATGCAGCTGGTCCTGAGGTCAGCTGCTGGTCTGGTTTCCTTGCATTTTGGGGCATGGAGCTGAAATACAACTGAGGCCTAGATGTTATCTCTAGGGAGGAAAGCTGGGGGGCGGGGGTCCAAACTGCATCACCAGCCACATGCTAGAGAAGAAAAGGTCACCCTAGGGGCAGGTCCCACCCTACAATTGTCTGTTGTTAGGCTCCCAGGGCTTGCCATCCTGGTGACCTTCTGCACCTGGCCCATCTTCTTTGCTCCGGCCTAACTGCTGACCACAGATCCTTCTCTCTCCTTTTGCTTATATGAATGCTCTGTTATTACAGCCCCAACCTCTTTGGTGAACACATATGTTGACTCTAATTCTTATTAAATGTGGCACTGTTAATCTCTTTAGACAAAAGTATCCTTCGTTTTTCTTTGCTTTTATTTACTAGCAGGAGGAAAAAATATTCTGCTGCCCAATAAATGACAAAAGTTAAAATCAATCCTAGCAACCACCTTAGAGAGCACTGTTATTGGCCACGTTTAGGGATGAGGGGCCTAGGAAGGTGAAAAAGGCCGTTTTGTCCGAGTCCTTGGCCACACGGCCAGGAAGGAAGAAAGGCGGAGGCCCGGGCTTGGGGCCCGCGGGGCCAGGGACAGAGCAGCCGGGCGGGGAGG